TGCGCCCCCTGTGGCTACAATGTAGCTGCCATCACCAGTGTGTGAATGGGTGGATGACTGGATGTGTAAAGCGCTATACAAATACAGGCCATTTACTATCTTTTTTTTTTTTTTTTTTTTACTGAGTAACTTATGAGGGATTTCGATCAAAGCTAAGGGGCGTTTTCCTGGCCTGCTGTAAAACAGCAGAACATATCTTGTGTGACATTTCTAGACACAATTTCAATTAAATTTTTGTTAAACTTTTACATGTCAATTTAAAAAATAACCTGTTTTTACAGAGACATAAACTATTGCACCTGACGGTCTGCACTGCTGAGTAATGCCTGTGCAGAATACTCAGTTTCTATATTTAGATTTTATTTTATAGTAAAGATAATCATTTTGTTATTTATTTATATACATTTGCACATTGCCCCTTATTTTTTTTACTCTTACACCTGACAGTTAAGACAACCAAAACCGAGCACCAAGCCGCGTTTACCTTGCAAGCTGTAATTTGGTGCATAAATCTTTGCTCCAAGTTTGGTGTTTCTTTGTTTGGAGTCTGGCTTTGTGTCAGAGTTGGTAGGTGAGTGTTGGCAAGAGTCGGCTCATTAAACTAAACTAATGCTCTTCCTATGTTAACTGTGGCTGTGCCCACAAATGAGCCACTGTGGACCAGGTCAGTGGATAAAACTGTTTGTGTAACGTGTGTTTGATTTGTTGTGTTTCAGGCCGTCCGTAGTGTGATGTGGCAGGACGTGTTCCCTCAGATCAAACTGTGGGAGTTCTACCAAGTCAAAGTGGACAGTGCTGTGGAGGAGTTTAGGACCCTGCTGCAAAACGGTGTGTAAATCCACACAGACGTCCCAAAGCCAAGAGTCGTTATGTGAGCTTCAAAAGCTCATCAGCATGCTTTCAGTTTGAAGCCCCAAAAAAGAACTTGTGTTTACGGTGTGTGCAAAGATGAGCAGAGGGTTAAACCACATTCACTGTGTCGTTAACATGTGTGTGCCTGCCATCAGGTACCAAGCCAGACCACAGCAAGACTGGAGGGCAGACTGGCCTCAGGATCATTCAGGATCCACAATACCGTCGCTATGGCAACACAGCAGACATGGACTCTGCTTTGGAGACGTTTGTGCCTCACAGGTGAGACTCGGGGTCCACGGCACGAGTGTGATGTTGGGCTGCTGGTCAACGTGCTGCGATTGAGTTTCTTTGTTCTTTTCAGATCGTCAAACACGTTTTTAATCCTGGACAAAGATGAGCTGAGTAAATGTGCTGTTTTCACCCGACAGTCGTAAAAGACTGTTGGCATTTATAAAAGTATTTTTAAATTAAGATTATTTATTAAGGGGAAATGAAGCTGTCCAAACCCATCCCGCCATGTGTGGAACGAACGAATGAACTGATTAACGAGCCACGCCTGTTCAATCAGGACGTAACTTTAATGTCTGTCTGACAAAGTGAGCTCAACAATCACATCGGACCAGGTCTTTTTGCCTCATCATTCAGAAACAGCGTTTTGTATTTAAATGGGTTATTTTGGTCTAATATTAAAGAAAAACGTGACAAAAATTGCTCAAATGTAAGAACTCTGCTTTCACAGCACTGTAAGTATGCAGTTGACAGTTGGCTCGAAGATGTTACGCAGCCATCACATTAGAGCTGCAACAGGAAGTTTTAAACATGCAATGTGGACAGAGTCAGGTGACATCACCACCCGATTAGACCAATGTGTAACCTTATCCTGCACAGGTGTGGACCTGCGTGGGGATAAAAGCAGCAGCCTCCTGTCCTTGCGTGTTAGCATTAACCACATTCAGCAAGCTAATCTGACACACTCTGTGTGGGTACAGCTTACCCTGCATGTCAGACCCATGGACCCCTGTGATTGGCTGACGATCGTCCAGAGTGTGTGAAAGGATTTGTTCTTAAATATGATGGTTCTGTTTGGTTTCCAGTCCAAAACAAGTCCCTTTGACTTAGTGTGAACGTTAGTTCAGTATTAAATGAATCAGGACCTCTGTTGTGAAAAGAAGACTGATGTTTGCATCTGTAGGGAGCACATCCCTGTTCCTCCATGCTCATCACTCAGCACAGCGTGGTTGAAAAAAATAAGCCCACAAACATTTAAAAACTACATTGTTATGTTTCTTCATTGTTCAGATATGAGTTACCTCTGTGACGCTGACATGGACCAGTGTAGTTAATGTAAAGTGTGTATATCTGTGTGTGCGGCACACAGCAGTGTGATGTAATGTTGCTTCCCTCTGTAGCTTTTCACCTCAACACATCGAGGAGTGCTGTGGTTGGCTCAATCAGAAACTGACTGACCTGAATGCAGAGCAGTATCACATAGTGCACCAGCATCAGGAGCAGGTAAGGCTGCCACTGTACAGGGCCACACCTGACGTGTTAGCTAGAGGGGAAAAGCATCGAAAGCTGTTAAACCTGTGAATTAACGTCCGTCTGTCAGTCAGCATCGGGCCAATGCAGCCCCAGGTTTAGAGCAAAACGACTGATAACAGCTACGCCTGAGACGATGCTGTCACTTTAACTTGGAGCCAGAGTCTGAGGACACGCCGTGAAGAGCAAAGAGGCGGAGCTGTGACCAGTAATCACCATTAAAAGCTTCACATGAAAAAGCTGGTAGTAGTCCTTCAAAGCACCTGTTCAACAGAAGTGTAAAGCTGCTCCAGCCACCGCTGTTTGCAGAACTTACGTTTACAGATACAGACAGGCAGCATGCTGAACGCTGACGGCAGGACACAGGACCCTGCTGCAAACAGGGGCGGAGCTAAAGGGGGCCGTGGGGTGTACCGCACGAGCTCAGGGGTTTCCTAACATTTCGTTAGTGAAATGAAATAAAATGTTAGATTGATAAAAATATGAATGAACATGGCTCAGCGTGGAGGCAAAGTTCATGCTATCCTGATTAGGGATGGGTATCGTTTAGGTTTGATCCGATACCGGTGCCAAATCGGTACTTTTGAAACGGTGCCGGTGCTCAAAC